AGATTAGCGCCGTCCAACGGCATGCATCTACTATTATGCCCAAATGGTCTGGAAATGCACAATTGATCTGGAAATCTTGTTTTTCTCCCCCAATTTTTCGTCTTTCCCCTCGGAGTTTTTTGCTGCAGACACATGTACTAGTAGACTACGACTGTACAGAATATCTAAGGAATACGGCGAGAGCAAGCAATTGAGAATGGGTTGCCGGTCGATCAAACTCAGGCTGTTTAAGGAAAGTATCGATGTTCTGAGCTCCTAGTTCCCGCAAAAAATCCAGAAAAATTTGAGAGACATTTTATAACGACTACAAGAGTATCTGCACCCTCAAAATATTTTGCCGGGACGGGGGCATTGAGTTCTGGCGGAGGAGCGTGACAGATTGAAACTCCGCTCGCTAAACAAATGATGTGACATTTTGTGACATTTCAGACTCTTCCCTCCACAGAACAGCACTCTCGTCCCGGAAAATAATTCTGAAGAGGGATAATGTATCAAGAACTACATAGAATACATCTCAAATTTTCCCGGATTTCTTAGGCCCTTTTCGGGGCCAGTATATGATCATCTTTCAAAGTGTCATTAACTTCGACGGTTCGGGAACTTATTCTCGATGACTTCCTCTCCCCGTATCCCTTAGATATTTTGGATAGTCGTAGTCTACCAGTACATGTGTCTGCCGCAAAAAACTCTGAGGGGAAAGCCGAAAAATTGGGGGAGAAAAACAAGATTTCCAGATCAATTGTGCATTTCCAGACCATTTGGGCATAATAGTACCACTTTATAAATTAGCGTGTCTGAAGCCGTATCTCCATATGGTTATATTGCGCAGCATGACCAATGCACGGCAGAACGACCGATCCGGGGCCGTCAACCTGTGTCGGCACAGGTCTGGAATTGGTTGGCCGTCGGTAACCGATATCAATCTCTCTTGCCGACGGGGCCGCAAAACGCAATGATTATATTCAGCTCTGCTTGCATGCCGAGCTGCAGAGTGCTTGATGCAGTGTTGGCCCTAAGGCCTAAGGCCTTAACCGGCTTAAGGCTTAGGAAGGCCTTAGAGTAAGCCTTAGAGCTCCAGGGAATTTTATTCCAGACCTTAGCGGCCTGAGGGCTCGGGCCGAACTTTCCCGTAGTGCGTAGCGCGCTTGTAGATTTTGGCTCTCTGCTTCCACCCATGGCTTCCACAGACTGGACTTCGAATCTCCTCGGCATGTACTATTTTCACCAAGGTTCAAAGATGCAGAATAGCAGCAACCGGAAATTCTGAAAACCCACCAATGCAAATGCTGCGTTAAGCAGGATCCTAACCTTTCATGAAGAGCAGTGAGCCAATGGGTCCTGTTACTTCTCCTTGAAATGGGCGGTATCTTGCCAACATGGCAGCCCAGAAGGCGGAATTTAGATATAATGGAGTGTGGGAAATTTTGAACTTAAGGCCTTAAATGGAGGCCTTATCTTAAGCCTTAGGCCTTAGTAACCCTTGGGGAGTTTCAAAACCGCTGTTAAGGCCTTAAGGGCCAACACTGGCTTGATGGCTGGCTCAATAGTGGAAATGCTGTTTTCTGGAGATCATATCTTTTGGAACTTATTTACTGCTCTCCTCGGCTTCGCATGTATTCACTAGAGTTGCAGTCAGACGCGTCGTTTACTCCAGCTTTACCACATTTCTGAGTTGGAACATTTCAAAGCAACCTTCTCAGAGTACTCCACAAAAAGTCACAAACAAACAAGGCGAGCAAGTGGGAGCCGGCGCGAAGCGCCAGCGACTGCTTGTTTATTCTTCAAATATTTACTCTCCCACACGGTGACATCGTGACAGCCTCGGGAAATTTTTTAATATTGAGTAAACACCGCAGAGTCACCGCAGTTCATCTGGGCCATGTGTTATATATCGGGTTGGGTTGGTTTGATTTTGTGATTTGATTTGTTTAAATACCAGTACGTGGCCCAAACGATCCGGATGTGCAGCAACTACGCGTGAGAGCGATCCATCCAATGAAAGGGGGAAAAAAAGCCCACAGACACAATTCATGACCCAACCTGGACTCGAACCAGGCCTTCGACTTCCCTTCAGCCGCAAATTCACTCTCATGCGTTGCGGGCAGCACCATTGGCCATTGGGTCTTGTTCCCGGGCCCCTTCCTGAACCGCGGCCTAGCTTGGTGTGATTTTTTCTTTTTTCTTTTTTTCAGAAGTTGAGTCCAAGAACAGCGCAGCGGACGGCGGACGCGTGAGAATTCGAACCAGCCAGCAACCAAAATAACAAATGCCTGAATGATGCCCTCATGACCCAGCCTGGACTCGAACCAGGACCTCCCGCTTGCAGGAAATCAGCATCTCGTGATGGGGTGCGGGCCGCCCCATTGGGTCTTTCATTCAGGAAGAACCTGGCTTGAGTTGGTTTGAGTTCAGGCTTTGAAGTGGAGTCCAGGAACGGCGCTGACGAAGACAGCAGACATGTACAGAAAGGGCAACACGCGTAGGAAATTTCATACAGCAAAAGCAGATGCCAAAGGAAAAGCAAGAAAGAATTTGGGTCCATCGCTTATGACCCAACCTGGAGTCGAACCAGGACCTCCCACTCCCACTTCCTTTCCCCAAACATGCGGTGCGGGCGCCACCGTTGGCCACTGGGTCTCATTCTCCCGTCCTGAGTCTGCCTGAGCTAGTATGATTTCGGAACTTAATTTGAATATTTATCAGAAGCAGGCGGGCTGGAGGGACAGAAGGTGCAACAACATACGTGAGACTGGGTGGTAAGAAATCAAAAAATAAATTTCTCCGTCATTCTTTTATGACCCAACCAGGACCCCCGCTCCCATCAACCAGTCCCTCATCCATGCACTACGGGTGCCACCATCGGCCATTGGGTCTTGTTCATGCTTCTTGAACACCGGTTTGGGTTGGTATGATTTTGGGATTTTCTGAAGAAAAGAATGGGTGAATCGACGATACCTGAGGCTGTATTATCTCGTCGACCTACAAGAACCAGCAACACGAGGGAGAAAAACAACTTCTGAATTCACGTATGACCCAACCCGGAGTCGACCCAGGCCTCCATATCTTTAATAGTGTAGTGTTATTATATTTGCGGCCTAATGGCCCGCTTGTATCAACCATGCTCGATATAATCATATGGTGCGGCGGCCACCGTTGGCCATTGGGTTTTTTTCATCCCCAATGAATCTGGGTTGAATGGTTTGATTTTCTTTTGGGATTTGGTTGGATATGTAGGCGAGGAACGGCTTCGGCGTCGGGCTAGATCCAGGGTGCAGCAACAGCGAACACGTGACAGCCCGCCTGGACGATAAGAAAAAAGGTTCAGAGAAGCATTCCATGACCTAACCTGGAATCGAACCAGGACCTCCCACTTCCATTTAGCTGGAACTTTGTCATGCGGTTCAGGCGCCACCGTTGGCCACTGGGTCTTATTCATTTATTCATTCTGGTTTGAACTTTTCTTAACCCGCACAGTTTTTAGTCGGAATACTGGGGTAGCATCGACCTTCACCATTCCTAAGGCCTAAACCTTTGTCTGATCGCGTGCATCAACACCGCGGCGTCAGCGAGCTCAAACCTTGGCTTGTGTAGCAAAATAGCTTTTATAGGACCGACGGAGGCAGAACAGAGCAAACAAAGTGAAAGTGCATGGTCCCAGCCCTCTCCAAAGCCAGAAAGCGCACTGACCGAAAGAGCGGCTGGGAATGAGTTTTGGTATTTGTTTGAGTACGCAGGCGAGGACCGTTGTAGACCAAGGATGGAGAGACATAGTAAAAGAACGATGCCGGTCGAACACGTGTGAGAACCAGCCAACCACAGTGATGAGCAAAGAAGAAGAAAACACTCGATCAGCACATCTGACCCAGCCTGGAATCGAACCAGGCCCTCCCACTTTCACTTTTATACATGCAGTGCGGGCGCCACCGTTTGCCATTGATTTTTGGGATTTGTTTGCGACTGGGCGGTAAGAAACCAAAAAAAAACATTGCCACAACTTATGACCCAACCTGGAGTCGAACCAGGACCTCCCGCTCACAAACAATGTGCGAATGGTTCATGTTGCCACGGACACAACCCTTGGCCACTGAGTCTTGTTTAGCCTGGTTTGAACCTTTCATAACCTGCACTTATTTGGAGTAGCAGGGCCGAGGAAGAGTGCAGCACCAACTATTCGTGAGAGCTAGCCAGCCAAAAGAAAAACTGAACTCGTGTACTACTATGACCCAACCCGGAATTGAACCAGAACAGCCCGCTTAACTGCGTACATCACTATCTCATGGGGTGAGGGTACCACCGTTGGCCACTGGATCTTATTCTTCCTTCGTGATCAGTGGTTGAGGTGTCGTGATTTTGGTGATTTATTTGAATATATATATATATATATGTAGCAAAAGAGCGGTGTCGGTGTCGGGCTAGATCTAGAGGGACCACGAATGGAGACCGCAGCAACAACTATGCCTAGGCAAGAGAGCTGGAAAGAAACAAAAAGAAGGAAAAAAGGCAGCCGACATCCGAATGACCCAACCTGGAGTCGAACCAGGCCCTCCCACTCGCATCTTTTGCAGCAAACTATTTGCATATGCGGTGTGGGCGCCGTACTGTTGGCCATTGGGTCTTTTTCATCCTGGTCGACCCCCGGGTTGAGTCGGTGTAAGTTTTTGGGTTTAATTTGCTTGACAGGAGAACACTGCTCAGGTCAGGCTTAGGGAGACACCAGAGTATCGATCCTGGGCTGCAAGAAACAACTAATGAAAATAAAAATAAAAGATTGAAACCCTGGGACCCGTCATGCGGCGCGGGGGCCATCGTTGGCTTTTCGGTCTTTTTAAGCCTTCCCGAACCCGGGTTGAAGCGGTATGATTTGGAGGTGTGTTTGAATGAATGGGGAATCGACGATACTTCTTTAGTTTTAAGCTGGATACGAAGGACGGAGAGTATGCCAACAATTACGCGTAAGAAACCAAAAGAAAAGAAGAAAAAAATCAAAACCTCCTATCTTATGACCCAACCCGGAATCGAACCGGGATCTCCCGCTTGCATCACTATCTCCACCCAATCCTATGAGGTGCGGGCGCCATCGTTGGCCATTGGGCCTTGTTCTTCTTGGGTTGAACCCGGGTGGTGCTCGTGTGATTTTTAAGGTCTATTTGAATACTAGTATGTGGTTTAAGAACGGTGGCGGCGTATAAAGAGCGCAGCAACAACTGCGCGGAAGAAAAGAAAAATACGACAGTACTCCTTGCATGACCCAACCTGGAATCGAACCAGGATCTCCTGTTTGCGTCATTCACCCCAGCTTATCTTGCGGTCCGAGCGCCATACCATTGGCCATCGGGTCTTGTTCTCCCTTCCTGAACCCGCGGTGAGCTGGTGAGTATTTGGGATGATTTTCAATTTGTACCCAAGAATCGGTGAAACACACTACACGTTGGCATAGCACCAGGACCGCCCACCTTGCACCAGTGTGAGCAACCATGGGATGCGGGCGCCACCATTGGCCACTGGGTCTTGTTCATGTTGGATGAACACCAGGTGGAGTTGGTTTGATTTTTTGGGATTTGTTTACCAGGTAGTAAGAAAGAAAAAGACGATGCTGAAATTGTATGACCCAACCAGGGATCGAACCGGCCCGGCTTACATCAAACAAACACTTTTATTTGGTGCGGGTGCTGCCATTGGCCATTGGGCCTTAGTCTCCCTCCTTTGAATTTAGCTTCGATGTGCACTGATTTGGAGTCCCATGACCAGCCCTAGCCAAAGACAGACGGTGTCCTGACCGAGAGAGTGGCTTGGGTTCAGTTCAGTTCAATCCAATAGGATGCGTGAGTGTGGCGGTGAGAAACCAAAAAGAAGAAAAAAAACGAGATTGTTATGTACTCTTTTATAAAACCCAACCTGGAGTCGAACCAGGAACTCCCGCTTTTATCAGTAGAGCAACCCTGTCACGCGGTGCGGGCGCGATACAATTCACCACCAGGTCTTTTCTTCCTTAATAAACCTGACTTGAGGTGGTGTGATTTGTGGATTTGTTTGAATACGTAAGTAGGCGAAGAACGGCGCCAGCGTCGTGCTGGAGCGACGGAGCCAACTAGCTACGCGTGACTCAAAACTAGGGCCAAAAAAAAAAACGCAATCACTGACAATGACTCATGACCCAACCTGGAATCGAACCAGGACCTCCCGCTTGCAATTAATAACATTCCTATCATGCGGTGCGGGCGCCATCATTGGCCATTGGGTCTTGTTCCTGTTGGATGAGCCCTGGTTTGAGTTGGTTTGATTCTAGGATTTGTTTACGACTGGGCAGTAAGGGTCTTATTTCCTGCGTTGAATTCATTTGAATGAATGGGTGAATTGACAATACCTCGTCACTTTTAGGCTGGAGTTGAAGGACTGAGAGTACGCCAATAACCGCGTGAAAGTGGACGGTAGGAAAAAAACGATGCCGCGCTTTTATGACCCAACCCGGAGTCGAACCAGGACCTCCCGCTGGGTCTGAGAGCCAGCCAGCCAATAAACGAAGAAAAAAGGTAAGCTTGGACACCCTCACTGACCCAACCCGGAATCGAACCAGGACTTCCCACGGGCATGACTCACCGCTTGTTTATGCGGGGCAGGCGCCACCACTGGCCATTGGGTCTTATTCTCCCTTCCTGAACCCGGGTTGAGCTGGTGTGATTCTAGGATTTGTTTACGACTGGGCGGTAAGAAACAAATATCAAAAAAAAAAAAACACTGCCTCAACTTTATGACCCACCCCGGAATCGAACCAGGACCTCCCGCTGAATCAACCCCAACTTTGCCTATAATGCGGTGCAGGCACCACCATTGGCCATCGGGTCCCCTTGGATGAACCCGGGTTGGGTTGGTGTGAGTTGTATGATTTGGTTGGATATGTGGCCCGAGAACAGCGCCGGCACAGCAACAGAGTATGAGCTGTAAGAGAACAAGAAAAAAACTGAACTCCGTGCGCATGACCCAACGCGGAGTCGAACCAGGACCTCCCGCCTTGCACCAGTATGAGCAACTATGCGGTGTGGACGCCACCATCAGCCACCGGGTCTTATTCATCTTGGATGAATCGGGTTTGAGTTGGTTTGATTCTAGGACTTGTTTGAATGGATGGGGGAATCATATAAAAAGACAAGAAAAATCATATCTGCTATACGACCCAACCCGGAATCGAACCAGGACTTCCCACTTGCATGAATCACCACCTGTTCACATGTAAGAGATTATTTACGTATTTTACTTACATTTTGCATACTCTTTAGCTACAAGTCATGTGCTCATGTATCAGGTGATCTTATCTTACTTTTACCACAAACCATCATCTCGCCTTGCCTGGCACCCTCGTTGAGTACCTCCGAGTCACAGAACACAGAGGCACTGGGCACTAGGCATTAGGCAACCTTTACTTCATTACACTTACACTTACGCTTTATGACCGTTCACACCGGATTACGCCAGGATCATTATTGATAATCTATACTCAGATCCTACGAATATTTGAGGATCTAAGGAGTCTACCACTACGAGAGCACGAATATTTGGCCTCTGGTAGTCTCTTGAAGAGTCAGATTGTCGGATTAGGGTCCTTCACACAATATAAGGCCCGATCACCCTGCCAGGGCAAGTGTACGATGATTACCCCTTTGTAAGTACTCTTGAAGCCTTACATCACGCGGTGCGGGCGCTACCATTGGCCATTGGGTCTTACTCATATTGGATGAATCGTGTTTGAGTTGGTTTGATTCTAGGATTTGTTTGCGACTTGATAGTAGTGGGCATGAGTACGAGTCCAAATACGAGGTGTGCCTGGGAATGGGCGGTGTGTGATTCATGATCACGAGCACTACGCGTCCGAGTCCCAGCCTTTTGCGGAATGCGACAATTTAGATCTAGGAGATCTTACATAGATAAGAGACCAAGAACATGAGCCGGGCATAAGAACACTGAATGAAGCTGAAGCCTCGAGCAGGCGAGCGTGCGCAGCCAGTACGTGAATACTTGTATGTTCATTTGTGCGTTGGGCCAGAAAATGTGATTCCAACTTACATAATTCAGAGAACATCCAAACCCAAGACAGGGACTTGGAAGACGCACTGCAACGGAGGGATGGCGTAGAATGAACGCTGTGACGGTGTTTGATACGGTTACAGTTGTGCATGTGGGAGAAGACGCTGAACGAAGACAGGATGAGCAAAGATAGAGATGGGAAGACGCTGAACGACTCGGAAGATAGGAAAGACGTCGAGTAGTAAGTACTTACGGATAGACGCCGAACAAAGGCGCGGATGAGAAAGACACTGAACACATACAGATAGACGCCGAACAAGGACAAGAAAGATGATACGAGGAAGGTAGAACAGAGAGCCAGAGGGTTGGCATCACCCCGTGTCCATATTTGATGAAAAAAAGATTACATCCACTGGCGGCATCATGATAGTAATACGCCTGTCAAGATGATGGAGGTCGAAGGCTGTTGAAGGCTGATTATTAACCAAGACAGCAGGGGTCTCGAGCACTCGGCTGGGTGTATCGGCGAGTGGGAGATTGAGAATACCCCAAGGAAAAGTAGAAAGAAAGGAACCCAAGACCCAAACCACCAGAAGTCGGGAAGAGGGAGGAAAGAAGAAAGGATCGCCATCACAGTCACATATTTGCACCTGTTTCATTCGGTCTGCATCGCCGTCTGCGCCAAGCCTATTATGTGTCTTGTTCGCAGCTTGACGACCTACCCTTTCTATCCCTTCCACACCACATTCCTAGCCTCCGTGCGTCCTGAGCGACGATGTCGAAAGATGTTGCACTCGATGCACGCACCATTACCCTCGTCTCCACTGCCACATCCAGCGTCCCCGCCTCCCATATCCAGAGTCACTCCACTTTTTTTTAAACCAAAAAGCGCAATGATCCATGACCCAACCTGGAGTGGAACCAGGGCCTCCTGTTTGCAACCCAACATATCTGCAACTATGTGGTGCGGGGGCCACCATTGGCCACCAGATCTTGTTCATTCTGGTTCGAACCTTGCTTGAATTGGTTTGATTTCAGGATTTGTTTGAATACATAGGCGAGGAACGGTGCTATCGTGGACGCATATCGGAGCCAGCCAGCCGATGAGAGGAGAAAAAAATCCAGAAGGCCTGACTCATGACCCAACCTGGAGTCAAACCAGGACTTCCCACCTTGCACCAGTGTGCGCAACCATGCAGTGCGGGCGCCACCATCGGCCACTGGGTCTTGTTCATGTTGGATTAACACTGGGTGGAGTTGGTTTGATTTTTACGACGAGGTGGTAAGAAAGAAAAAATACGACGCTGAAATTATATTACCCAACCCGGAATCGAACCAGGACTTCCCGCTTGCATCAAGAATCACCTACTTATGTGGTGCAGGCGCCGCCATTGGTCATTGGGTCTTATTATCCCTCCTTTGAATTTAGCTTTGCAGTGCACTTATTTGGAGTCCCATGGCCAGCCTTAGCCCAAGACAGACGGTGTCCTGACCGAGAGAGCCACTTGGGTTCAATTCACTTAGATTCAATAGGAGGCGTGAGAGTGGGTGGTAAGAAACAAAACAAAAATAAAATAAAAAGAACTCTCCAGTTTTATGACCCAACCTGGAGTCGAACCGGGAGCTCCCGCTTTTATGAGTATGAACCATTCCCATGCGGTGCGGGTGCCACCATTGGCCACTGAGTCTTATTCTTCCTTGATAAACCTGACTTGAGGTGGTGTGATTTGTGGATTTGGTTGAATACATAAGTAGGCAAAGAACGGTGCTGGAGCGACGGAGGTCAAAGGACGGAAAGTGCAGCAACTAAGCCTGACTCAAAACCAGGACAAAACCAGGGCTAAAAAAACGCAATCAATGATAATGACTGATGACCCAACCTGGAATCGAACCAGAACCTCCCACTTTTATCAACACATCACATGTATGTAGTGCGGGCGCGATACAATTCACCATTGGGTCTTGTTCCTCTTGGATGAACCCAGCTAGTTGATGTGATTCTAGGATTTATTTGAATGGATGGGGGAATCATATAAAAAAACAAGAAAAATCATATCTGCTATACGACCCAACCCGGAATCGAACCAGGATGTAACGGTGCGCTCTCGCACCTATTCCTTATTCCTATTCCTATACAATCCCCCTTTTCATCCAACTCTATTATTCTATTCAGTTGTCCAACTACCCACTGTTTTACCTACTCCACTACATTTCTTGTACCTTGATGTCCCCTAACCACTCTAGTATATAAACCCTTGATGTTGTAGCTAGTTATTTGGTCAATCTTACTGTTACACCACTTATTCCCGTTCGATTCTACCTCCTGCCAAATCTCGACAGTTGAACCTTGTGCCGGAACTAGCCGCCGACTGCTCTCCATCACATCTTTTTAAGTGTTGATACTCTGTCACTGCTTGTCTGGTTACCCCCTGGTCTGATCAACCAAGACTACCATCTCGCCGTCGACACCCCAACAAAAATCCAAAGAACTTTGCTATGGACAACAATCCCAGCAACCCCCATCATACTCGTGCCACGACGAACGCAGGCATCTATCCGGCTCCCCCTCCCCTCTTCTGCCCCAACCTTTCTTTTGGGTCTATAGGGCCCGGGGACATGTATCTCCCCTCCATCGACGCCCCGGCATCGGTGAGACCTTCCAGTGCTCCGGCGTGTGGAATCACCCCCACTTTGGTGGCGGGATTATCTGCCACTCCAATGGCAAGTTACTCCAGCACTGTGCACACGGGAGTAAGCTCCTTGCAGCTCCCTTCACTCACCAGCGACGTGGACTTTGGTGTGCTCATTGACACTTCAGTCCTGGGAGAAGGCAATGAGAATCAGGGTTGGACCCCTGTTACTCATAAGACCTCGCGCTCTCACCGCGAGCGTAGTACTTTGAATAAAAGTAAACATTCCAGTGTTGCTAGTTCGAATACATCGGATTCTGAGTCTACCGTTGCACAAGCTACGCATGAGATGAGTGGGAACGAGGTTGAAGTTCTTGCTCGCCGATATGAGGCTTATGCTGCTCAGTTCCGTGCTGGTATTGAGCGCAAGGCAGTACCTGAATCAGTTCAGGAGAAATACAGCGTCAAAGGGGACACATTGAGTCAGAAGTCTGATGTTGAAAGCATCAAGAATGCTAAGGTTGACGAACCTGAGCACAAGAATAACTTGAAAGTCGAGTCAAAACTTCCTGCTGCAGCATCGACGGCTCGGAAAGCCACAGTCGAGGAAGTAGAGGATGAGGACAACCTCATCCGTTTCAGTCCTGCTCCTATCACAGGTTCTTCCCACACCAAAGGGAAAGGAGTCGATCCAGGTAACTGGGGAGATATTAGTTCGTTCTTCAACTCTGACGAAGATGAATTGAGAGCTCAGCGTGAAATGCTAGAGAATTACGCTGAAATTAGTCATGCAATTAAGCAGGAGGAAATTCCAACTCCCTCCGATTTCTTCGCTGATTTTCCTGCTTCAACAGTGTCTTCTCCCAAAGTCAAGGCGTCTAAAAAATGCTCCAAGAGCCCTAAAGCGAGGAAAGTGAAGGCTGCAGAGCCTGCAGTTGAACTATTCCCTGATCCCGACATCCATCAATTCCGAATTGATGGCTTGTCTGAAAGTCCTGTTCCTTCCACGGAAAGGGCTGAATCAGTGGAATCTCTCCAGAACCCTGTTGATAATGTTCAGTTTGCTGAACAGACGGGAATTGACCTGTCTCCTGCTGTTTCAGGATGCGACACGAACAATGGTCGCGATTCCAAGTCTGGACTTACCATCGATCAGATGTACGCTCTACTGAGTCAGAAAATCAGTGAGCTTGATCAGAGACAGCAACCTACCTTGGTAGCACCTAAAATTGAGGAGGTTCCAAGGCCTAGGATAAAGACAAGCGTGTCAAAGACACATGAGGTTCCCATTCTACGAGGTATCACACCTGGAAGACTAGCAGCAGAAAATTTCTTCGAGAGAGCTCTGCATGGTACTCCAGCGGCTGCTGCGGCATCCAAACCACCCCCTTCCGATCCATCGGATGGATCGAGTTCAGATTCGGGTGAAAGCTCCAACTCCTCGGATCACAATGCTTCTGGATCACGGCGTGGTGCTTCAAGCCCTCGTTTATTGTCTAAACGTAGACAAGGCCATACTCGCAAGCAGAAAATGTTGCTGAAGCCGATACCACTGTCTCGATATAATGGAGAACCTAATGCCAATGCTATTCAGCGCTTTGCGAGAGAGTCGCGAACATACGTTAAAATGGGCTGCGTGCTGGAAGAAGAGCAAGTCTTCTTTGTTTCGTATTACCTGGATGGTAAAGCATTGGATTTCTACAACCAGGTTGTAGTACCGAGGGAGGAAAGTTGGAACTTGAAGCGGTTCTTCTTTGAGCTGTTTGAGTTTTGTTTTCCTGTGGATTTCCGTAACACACAAAGGAAGCAGTTAAACCGCTGCTTCCAAGGGACGAAAGAAGTCGCCGCCCATGTTGTGGAATGGTCCGAAATATACAACACAATCAGGTTAGAAGATAACCAGGAAAAGGTTGTTAAAATATTCAACAGCTTTACCTTCGCTGTTCAGACCGAAATCTATCGCAAGGGTCTTGATCCTGAGGTATCTACCTGGGACGAGATCGTAAAGTCAGCCGAGCAAGCAGAAATTCTGCTTAAACTCGCTACCAAGGACCGAGAGTCCGGAGGGTATTCGAAGCGAGCGGCTCAACCACCACAGAATTCAAGTGAGAGCCGCTGACAGAATCGCAGTCAACCTTCTTGCAGAGGATTCCATGGACGTGGTCATGGCCGTGGAGGGTGTGGCAAGTCGTTCCGTCTTCGAACCATGCAAACATCTGCAGTTGATGTATTTGCAAAGAATGAGAGACCAGCAAAAACTGGTCAACCCATGTCAACTCAGAAGCGGAACGAGATGCTTGTCAAGGACTTGTGTTTCAACTGCAATGAGCCAGGTCATTTTGCGTGTAACTGCCCGAAAAACCAATCAGTTCCTTCTAAAAAGAAGGGTAAACCACCAGGAATGGCGACTCATGCAGTACACATACCTACCGCATCGAGTTCGCGTGATGCGCTGTATCAGAGCACTGAGGTACTGGAGACATTCGCGATCCGCTTCGGTAACCTAGCCGGAGTCGAGGAGGGCAGGGAACCCCTTCAAACTTTTGAGACATCTGTGCACTCGGAAAACGATTTCGAATCAATTTCAGAGCCAGATTCTCAGCACAAGATCGATTCCATAAATGAGGACTTACCTCTGCAACCCATTGGTGACCTGTATGCCTACTACACCAGTCTGATGCTCGAAGCAGCTCAGCCATACCCTGGTGACTTGAGTCAAGAGTCCCCAGACAAATGCCTCGACAGGCAATGCTTCATCATGTACCATACCACAGATGATCAGTATGTTATAATGGACTGTGAACGCAACAGCGAACTCACTATTGAGGCTGAATTGTTGCATAATCCCGAATTTATGCCTGCACTTTGGTTTGCACAAATGCGACTATACGCGTTAAACCTTGATCCTGATGATGCCCTCGAGGAGGAGCGTTATCTTGAGGAGATTGGTGACATCCAAGCTGGCGTAGTACAGTTAATACTTGCTCATCATTTTTGGGACAGAATATCCTATCCTATGCGGTTAGACAGGTTTGAGATTGAAACTGAAGATGAAAACCTTGTCATTTCCAACCAAGATCTTGCACAGTGCTTTAGACTTCCAAGAGGCTTGCTGTCCAACCAGAGCTTTGATCTGATTCAATGGTATCAGCAACGAATCTCAGATGAGCTTAATTTGACTCCCCCTTCATCCGAATGGGACTTGGGATCGGAGGGCAATAGCTCGTGGTTTTTACTGTCACTGCAGAAGTCTGGATCGGGATCCGAATGTCCTTCGGGGCTGCCATCATTGCGAACTGGGATTAATTCTGAAAGTGATTCAGAAAGCTCATATGGTGACTTACCATCACTGCAATCGGTTAGCGACTCCTCAGACAGCGGTTCTGAAGATGAGTATCCGAGTACTGGACCACCTAGTCTGCAGACAGTCAGTAGCTCTTCAGACAGTGGTTCTGAAGACGATTCCGAGGAGTCTATAAGATTCGGGGATCCCGAAGAAACTGTTGAGGATCGGTTTAATCTTTGGGCTCGCACCACGGAATCATTCAGCGATATGCAGCAATGTGAAGAGATACCAAGGGCACGTCATTTAGGTGACATACTTGGTAATAGTGTAGCTGCACTGCTGGAGTTCTTCCAGCCATATCCCGGAGACGAGAGTGTCTCTTGGGCTGATGAGAGGCGGGATAAATTTCGATTCCGTCTCCTACACCCTACACAGGATTATTATACAATTGAAGACTCACTTTCTGAGCAAGTAACAATCTTGCCTGTGGAATATCTGCGACAGCCCACATTCCATCTTGTAGAATGGTATGCACAAGTGCTCGCGAATGGTCTGGATGTCCAGTACGACAAAGCTCTACCCATTCATTATTTTCCTATCGAGGAATTACTTGCTGACGCAATTCAGCAATATTTCCGTGACATTAGTCGCCACTCACCGATGTTCGAAGGAGTCGGCATTGGCCGAATTCCCCGTGAACCAGATGATCAAGAGGGACCAGATGAGTTCCTCGTGGAAATACCTCTCGGGGAACATGGTCTCAACGAGGTAATCACTGAAGAAGAGCTCTTGAATCCTAACCTGGATCTCGCCGGCTGGGTATTGAAACGCCAGCTGAAGTGTATTCTTCGTGAGAATAATCGACGCAACGGCTGGAGTTATACTCGCCGTAATGATTATTCTGGCACCACGTTCGATGAGCCGGACTCCCAAGCGGAGGGCGCATTTGTGATGTTCTGTGGGGGTGCTCAAATCCCTCCAGATAGTATGAAGGGAATTTCATGCACTGCCTCTACTCCACGGGTTGCGAACCGTGTAGTCGCACG